TGTCAAATCAATCCTGATCTCTACTAAACTTACTCATTTGCTTCTTTCATCATTATGAAAAAAAAAAATTGTAAAAATTCCCAGTTTTCTGAATTGCAATCTGAACCTTATATCTTTTTGTTGCATTTTATAGATTTTTATCTTTGGGCTCATGTAGTCAATGATGAAATAACAATTTAGAGCATTAAGGGAAGAACACAGATTTTATCCTGGAAGGCCTAATTGGTAACTTTATTCTGTTCCAAGGCCAAAGGCTACACATATGTCAACTATATTTGTAAACCTTATCTAGTTCAGTGTTCACTATGACTAAGGATAATTCTAGTACTAATCTGGAAAAAAAAATATGTAAAGGATATCTTTTAGACAAAATACACAGCTTATTTCAAGAAAGGATAAAACGAAGAGGAAAGACTAAGGTATTTAAATGTTCCAAATCAGCCCTTCACAACATTGAGATGACAAAACTGCCAGAGCTTTTTCTCAGTGAGTAATAGTTGTATTTAGATGTATGAAAAAACTTCCTTATGAAAATATTTAAATATACATAGATATATCTCATAGTTTTCAAAGCACTTTGATGCATCTATTCCATCTACGTAGTCTGATGGAAAAACTAGCTTCTAGTGAATAAAGGGCATTCCCAAAGTCACATAGAGAAACTGATTGAATCAAGATTCAAATATAGAAAATCCACTCAGTCAATAAACATTTATTGATGCCTACTCTATGTTAGACTTGTGCTAGGGGCAAGGACAAGAATGTTCTTGTTATACATTTATATCTTTGAAGCATATACCCTAAATAGAACAGAAAAGTAATCATTTAAAAATTTTTTTAAATTTTTTTTCCTTTCTAAGCAGAGTCACACCGTTTTTATTTAGGCAATAAAATTGTTTCAAGTTCAAAAATATGATCAAATAGCATTAGATGTTTCTTGAAAAACATCTCTGAAACTGTATTAATTTTAATTTGTGTCTAACAGGAAACATAAACATAATTTTTAAAACAAGTTCACCTTAGGAATCACAACTGCACTTTTCTTCTGGGATACATAGTTATACTCTCCGTTAGTCAGCTTTTTGTCACTGTGACCAAAATACCAATAAGGACAACTTAGAGGAAGAAATGTTTAATTTTGGCTTCAAGCATTCCAAAGTCTTAGTCTGTAGTCAAGCAACTTCACCAATTTAGGTCCAATATAAGGCAGAACCTCATGGTAGAAGTGCAGGGTGGAAGAGGAAAACTGATCAGGTTATGGTAGCCAGAAAGCAGAGAAAGACACAAGAATTTGGGGACAAGTTGTATAATCACTGAGGACATGCCCTGCTTCCTCCAACCATACCCCACCTGCCTATGTTACCACCCATGAATATATTCAAATCTGTTTAGGTTACAGCTCTCATAATCTAATCACATAATCTAATCACCCTGCACTTTCCTGTATTAACACAGAAACTTTTGGGGGGTATAACTCATATCCAAATCATAATATGTACACAAATAGATTTTGTATTCAATAAAACATTCTGATTTAATTTGTAAACAATGTCAATAACTGTCAGGAGAGATAATCTATCAATATTTTTTGTCTGTGTTAAACAGAATAACTTGTTAGTTTTCAGTGATCCAAACAGAAGGCATAGGTGCAGAATACCTTAAAATAAATCATTCTGTTAAAATCTAACCAAATAAGGTGGAAACACATTCGGTAGGATCTTATGAATTGCCTTCCTCAGGGAATTGAGGAGAAAACATGTCAAATCTAGATAATTAAGGTAGTAGAATGCTGTTGAAACCAAGTCAAATTTCCATGTTATTCAGTTATGAATACACTACTTTCCCTTCTTTGAACTAACCCACAGACACTCAAGAGTGTTTAATATTTTATACTGTAAAATATTACTTGAATATTTATTTTTATTAATTAATTCTATCCAGTTTCCATTTCACTCTTTAAGCTCTTGGCTTTGTAATTCTGTAGGATTCTGGTTTACTAAGTCTACAAAGCCTATCATAGATTTTACTACCATTTTTCAAACCAAGAATATGGCTCTGAGAATTGTAAGCCCTATGTGCCTTTTGATGAGAATGTGATGGGTAAGACTGACTGACTCCTGTAAGCTTAGCTTCCCTGGGAATTACACTCTCATAGATACACCTTTAGCCACCTTTGCTGATTCAGAGGATCAATTTTTTTCAGAACACACAAGTGTGAACAACCTCTAATTCTCAATGATAATTTTTAAGAGACTCCTCTGTAAATCCAGGTGGTATTAATTTACAACTGGGTAAGAAAATATGGTATCTGCTTACCATAGTTTATTACAAGTCAGTAGGTCTATTAAATCAAAATAAATAAAGATCAAGAGATTGCCTATTGAATGCTCTGTCATGGAAAAGGAAGAGATTAATTTCCAATGATTTCTGTATCTTAACTGTTAACAACTTGCTCTAATGCAGAGAGCAAGGAAAAGAACTAACCAGTAGTTTTATCACTTTCCCATGAAGATATCAAGGAAAGGAACACAGCTCTAACTCATCATTCTTCAATAACCCCCTTTTGCTACATTCAACATTATATCTTTATTTTTTTCAAAACATATGCATGAAATTTAAGTAGTGCCATCTTACAAGAATATTTTGTCCAAATTATATCATGAGTACCTCTGTGGTTTCTCAATTATCTAAGTATTATGTTGTGTATTTCATTCTTA